GCTCTAAGTACAGGTTTCACATGAACACAATCAAGTGTTCTGGGATTCTTGTTTTCCTCAAAGTTAGCCACAATTTGTTGTGATCCACACAGTCAGATGCCTTTGCATAGTCAATGAAACACAGACAGACATACTCTGCTTTCTGCCAAGATTCATCTGATATATTGGCAATAATGTCTCTAATGCCACGACCTCTTCTAAACCCAGCTTATATTTCTGGTAGTTATCTGTCAGTGTACTGTTCCAGTCATTTTGGGATATTCCTCAGCAGGGATTTTGCTTGCGTGTGATATTAGTGATATTGTTCGATAATTTCCACACTCTGTTGGGTCACCTTTTTTTGGAATGGGAATATTTATATATGGATTTCTTGGCCAGGTGGTTGTCCTCTAGATTTCTTGGCACAACTTTGGTTATCATGTCCAGGGCAGCATCTGTTTATTGAAATATGTCCGTTGGTATTCCGTCAATTCCCGGGGCTTTATTTTTTGCCAAATACGTCAGAACAGCCTGAACTTCTTCCTTCATCACCATTGCCTCTTGATTGTATGTTGTTTCTTGAAATTTTCTGTGTTAGCCAATTCTTTTTGACACAAGTGACTCTGTATACACCTTTGTTGGGTAAATTTTTTAAAATCTCATTTTAATATAGGGTGATTATATTCCCAGAAGCTCTGTTGAAAGGTAGGGAAACCCCATTAAGCTCAGAAAATATAGTGAGATGTGAAGAGAGAAATTAATTCTAGGGTCTTTGAGGATAGTTTACCCAATGGCACAAAAAGGAACAATTTAAGTAATTGAACTTTCATTTAATTTTAGAGGCTAAAATTAGTGGCAAGGATACAGAACTTTGTGCTCATTTCTTAGCTCTGTTTTTCACTAGCTTGATGGTATTGAGCAAGCATCATATTCACTTTGAACTTAAATTTTATTGACTCTTTAATGAAAACATGCGGTTTTTTATTTGCAAATATTTATTGAGTGTGAACTATGTTCAGCAACAGGTAAGTTCTAGCAGCCAAACTTTATGTTAGCAACAAAATGCTTAACCCACTATACCACCAGGGCTCCTTCTGGGGTGTCTACGACAGACATTAAACAAGCAAGCAATATCACACATTGAGCAGAATCTCATGTAGATTCTATCTCATGAACTTGTATTTCTTTCATTTTCTACCTAAAGTAAGTACAGTTTTGATATTGTTCTATACTATACACACAAACTAATATCCTAAGAAGGCAGTTGGAAAATTTACAGTTGCCGATTAAAGCTTGAAAAAGTCATTGATACAGTTGTAGATTCTATATTACAACTAACCTTTAAGAAACTACTACTTGTTGAATTTTACTCCAGTGTCAAAAGAAAAATCCAAAATTAACTGATGAACCTGTTAAAATACTCCTGTCTTTCCCAACTGTATATTGTTGTGAGACTGTATTTTGTTCAGATACCTCAAACAGAAAAGCAAATAACGGGAGCAGATATGGCAATCCAGCTGTCTTCTGTTAATTAAACATTAAAGAGATTTACAAAAATGAAAAAAAAAAGAAAAATAA